CAGCAATCTTCCATAAACAGACGCACGTATACACAGATATAAATGGGCAAGAACGCGACGCTCGCTCGCTCAGCCTCCACCTCTCCCACCGGACCGAGGCTCCGCGGAGCTCGGGGCCGGTTCTCCCGGCTGAGCCCCCGCTCCCAGGCGGCTCCTTCCCCCGGGCACGGAGGATAAAACCCCTCCGAAACTTGTGCCAAACGTCTCCCGCTCCGCGTGGGCACAGCCCCCGCCCGGGCGCTGCTGCCGGGACAGCCCTGCAGCGACCCAGCCTCCCCCGGCCCCGCTGAGGCGGCGGCCCCGCTCCCCCGCTCCGCCCCGGCACGTCCCGCACGGCCCCGCACCGTGTATGTGTCCACCAGCTCGGAGCCCAGGACCCGGGCCTCCCGCGGGGGCTCCTCGCCGTCCTCGCCTCCCGCCGCCGCCTCCATGTCGCCGGGAGAAGCGCCGGGGCGCGGCCACTCAGGCCGTCACGGCTCCCCCGCGGCCGCCGCCGCCCGCCCCCGCCGCCCGCCCGGCCCGCGCTGCCGCCGCCGCCATCTTGGACCGACCCCCTCAGGGTGCGGCGGGCCCCGCCCGAGCCCTTTATGGGCACGCGGGGAGGGGCGGGGCTCGAGTGGAGGGGCGGGCCTCGTTTCTAGGGGAGGGGCCTGGCGCTGGAGGGGCGGGGCCATGGCCCGGGGAGGCGGGGTTACTTGGCTCGAGGCGCGCATGCGCGGTGGCTCTGCAGCGGGATGCTCGCTCAGTGCTGTGCGGAGCAAGGGAATGCAATGGGATCCAATGGAAACCAATGGAAACCAATGGAATCCGACCCAGTGCAAACCAATGCAGTCCAGTGGAATCCAGTGCAGTGCAATGCAACCCAGAGGAATCCAATAGAATCCAACGCAATCCAGTCCAACTGAATCCAATGGAATCCAGTGCAATGCAATCCAACCCAGCCCAACCCAAGCCAGGCAACACAACCCAATGCAATGCAATGCCATGCAATGCGATGCAATCCAACCCAATCCAGTGCAATCCAACCCAATCCAGTGCAATCCAATGCTGTGCAGTGCAAAGCTGCCCAGGGCTGAGCTCCCTCGTGGAGCTGAGGCAGTGCTGCTGCTCCATGAGCATCCACAGCCAGAGGCAGTGCTGGCAGTCCCCAGCTGCCCCTGGCACAGATCTGTGGCCACCAAGAGCTGCTGAAAGTTTGGGTGCTGTCACACTGGGTAAAGACACCATTGCAGTGGTTCTGTGACTGATGCCTGATGCCACCCCAAAGCCAAAGCTGAGGAGCTGATGGGCCAGACCTCAGGAACAAGTCCACCGTGAACTTGGGGTGTTGCTTTGGGTGTTTCACCGGCATCGTGGACTTGGCTTGCCTCAGTCCACTGTCCCACTGAGCACAGGGAAGTGTTTCAAGCCCATGCATGCTAAAGGGATCTTGCCAGCAATTTGTGGAACTTGTAACAGAGAAGCTAAAGGATGGGGAACAAACACTCCTCATCCCTCACCCCATGAACCCAGGTTGCCCTGAGGGGGTGTCACAGGATGGCAGCCTTTCTGCTGGCTCAGTATGGACCCCAGGAAAGGAAAGTTGAGGGGGAGAGAAGATACAAGTTTTTTAGGAGTCTCTGACTCTATTAAGTTGAAAGATTATCTAGAAAGGTTATATTTTAGGCAGAGGGATGCATTAAGCATCCATCAAGGCTTTGGAAGAAACTCTGCACTACATTACAAATGGAGGGATTTCATTATGCACCATCAAGTCACAGGAGATTTGGGAGAAAAAAGCACCTTCCAGCAAAATGAAGGTGACATCTCTCTTATGCTACCTAAGAGAGGATGCAAATAGCTCAGTATGGTGTCATTAATAACACCAGAAGGGCCAAATGCCCTGGCTGGGTGCATGGAGCTGCAGGGCTCATGCTGGTGTCTGGCAGATGCCACCAGGACAGGGGTAGCAGATGACCAAATACACCTCTGCAAATGGAGCTGGATAAACCCATTTTGTTTTCATTTTCACTGAAAAATGCTTTCCCTTGGTCAAGATGTAGCCGAAGGACGATGTGTGCCAGGAGAAAACACACGTAGTGCAGGCAAACCAAGAGGGATTTTCTGTTGCTGTCCCAGCATCAGGAGCTGCTGCTGAGCTCAGCCTCTTCATAAGATAATAAGAGGGTTTGGAGAGCAACTTTAATTAAGCTTCCTCTCAATGTCCCGTCTCCTTAATTAAATAACAATCTACAGCACTGGCGCGCCTGTCGGTTGTGATCAGTTCCCTTCTCCTCCTCCTAAAGCAGTTCCTGCCTGCAGGCACAGAGGTGGCTCCTGGTGTGACAGCCCTGTCCTGGCTCACAGAGAAGATGAAAGGGGGCAAACGGGGGCTTGTTCAGCTAAAACTCTCTGAGGTGGATCTAGGAAGCAGTGAATTAAAGAACTTCGATGATGGGGGGTCTGGCCTCTCTTGGGGCCACGTGCCTGATGCAGGAAACGGGGTGCTTGGAGGGTTTTGCTGCAGTTCAGAACACTACAACAGAAACCAAGTAGCCTTGCAAACAGCCCTGACCCCAAATAAAATTGCATCTTAGTTGGGCTTCTGCTTTTTATTTCCCTGCATTTGACCTGAAGGGTGCTCTGCAAGTTTTGCCTGGGATTACAGCGGCTTGGAAATGAAATCCTAAACCGAGATTTTGGAGGAAAGAAACGCAGTAACACCTTCTGTTTGTCTTGATCCCTTGGACTGACTGACAAGTGTGACAGCACATCAGGATGCAGCTGGAGCCCAAGCTGCCATGCTGTACCTGCCTGCAGTGACAGCCGGCGTGCCACCGAGCCAGCCGTGCCCGGATTAAGGGCACTTGAGCTGGCAGCCCTCCCCAGGCTAAAGATAGCCACGCTCCAGCTCTGCTCGGGGTCTCACAGGGAAACAGCAGGAGCAGATCATTATTCCCAGCACTCTCCATACCTGCAGCATCCTCCCCCTGTCCTGTGCATGGCAGAGGCTCTGGGTTTCTCTAAAAACCCCAATTCTTTGGTAAGCAAAGAACTTCGAAGAGACAGGGGATGCTGGAAGCTTTGGCTCCGAGCAGCAGGCGGGGAGGCAGCGGTTGGCACGATGCCCCTCGCCTGCGCCTCCTTCCCTGGGAGGAACATCATCTCCTGTTGCCAGATGGATTTCATCCTTTCCCTCCAGGCACAGCTCTGCTTTGTAAGTCTCTGTTCGTATCAGCCGTTTGCAGAAGTGCAGCTTTCCCACGTTAATGTTCATGGTAGCAGTGGCCCAGTGGCCACCAGTGGCCCCTTTCCTATAAGCAGACAGAGACTCTTCTTCCACATCCTGACCTGAATTTCATCCCAGCTGCTCCAGCAGTGCAGCCACAACCTTTTAAAGGCAATGTTAGAGCTCCCATTCCCGGTCTGCATTGGCCTGGGATACATTCTGACACATCCCAGGGGCTGTTTTCAGAGGGGTGACTCAGAGCCATCACCTCCCAGGATGGAGGGACAAGGCCAGCCGTGATTCCTCACCCTCATAATGCCCAGTGCTGGCACCTGCAGTGAATCCTGAAGGAGCAGCCAGGGGCACAGATTTACCTCGGGGCAGCACTTCACTGGGAAGGTCTCTGTGAGGTTGCCCAGGAGGTTCTGAGGGATGGTTTAATTGTGGGTGACAGCAGGTCCTTCATTCCATCCTGTGCCCTCACCTAAGGACAGGCTCCAATGCCCTTTAACAAAATACCTACTTCCCTTTGCAGCTTTTCCTGCTTTTTCTGCGTTCAAGGCAACCAAAATAATAATGTTCCAATTCTCAAGACTAACTGCTTCAAATATTAATTCCTTCAATGCAGCTATTCTCCTTGCTGTTCCATCTGGAGGCAGATCTGGGCTGAAGCCATGTAAATCAAGGCCAGTGGGTGCCCACAGGACCACAGTTCCTAACAAGTGAATCCTTCAGGACTCAGAACCTGGGAAGGTGTGGTGTGGGGACAGCTCTGTGCTCACCCATGTCCTGGCTTCGTGCTGACACCAGCAGGGTCCCTGATCAGCGCTGCTTTGGCTGGGCATTCCATAGGGGTAGCAGGTTTTTCCGTGCAGTATGATTCCTCTTAAACGGAGAAGGGATTTTAGAAAAGATGAAACCTATCAGCTGCACTAATAGTATTTTCAGTTTTGCTAACAAACTAACTGGTATGAGCCAGCTGGAGGTACCTTTGTATCCTGAGGTGCCAGAGCCATCCGTAGCTTCTCCGGACACAAGAGGGAGTCCTGAATCACTAAAAGGAGAGGTTCGACTTCGGTTGCTGGATTAAAACGCTTTTTCCTGCACTGAGAAAACGCTGCTCATCACTTGGAGGTCTTTGGTGTGCTTTGCTTTTCACCGTGGTGGGGTAAATGCGGGGTAAATCCACGGTAAATCCAGGAGTGTGGATTTTAGCCATCTGCAGTGGGGACAGGTCAGCTTGCTGGTTGGGTGAACTGAGTCCCAGTTTCCTAAAAGACCGAGAAATATCCCTGTAATCAAACAAAGTTAATACCGCTCCTTTTGGTTACTGATCCCCCCGACTTTCAGTCCCAGCTGAAACAGAAGGTTGAGGCAAAGCTCTATGTGCTTCCACGCTTCTCTCTGTGGCATTGGGAGCGCAAAGTCCCCCTATCCTTGGCACCCGCCCGCACATGGCATCGGCTCCTCCCGGGACATCAGCCCTGGCTGCCTGTCCTCCATGGGTTTGGGGACACCCGGCAGAGGGGATGGGGGGCCCCGACACCCCCTGTTCCTACTGCCCTGGGGCACATTTGCTGCTAGACAGGGATATTTTGGGAGACATGCCTTTCCCGTACCACCCAGTTTAATTAGGCACAGGATAGTCTTTCTATCGCAGCTTCCAGGGGGAACACGCTGGAGGTGGAGGTGACACGGTGGCGCGTGTCCAGTCAGGAGAGCGAAGTACATATCAGCAATTTCGGCAGCACTGGCTGAAAGTGCTCGCTTGTTCCCACAACAAAGTCACGAGGAAAGCTCCAGCTGCCCCCGGAGCGGGGCTGGGGCTGGCCCCGGACATGCCAGCCCCGGGCTCCGCGGTGTCCCCATCCCAAGGCACGCAGGCGAGGCATTCCTGTGGGGCCGGGCGTGCGGGGCTGCCGGTGGGCTGGTCCCAGCCCCCGGGGCGGGCAGCCCCCTATATCAGCCGGGCCCGCGGGGGCAGCGCCAGCAGAGTGTGACCGTGACAGCCCCCGGCCCCTCGCCCGCCCTCTCCAGCCATGGATGACATTTATAAGGCAGCGGTAAGTGCCTCCCTTTGGGGCTGTGGTTTGGGGAGAGGGCTTTAATGGGATTTTTGGGGATTTCGTAGTAGACTCCCCAAAGCCTTGATAGCTTTAATTCAACGGACAAATGCAAATAAGAAATAATTACAGGGCAGCAATTTCTAGTCAACATCCTCATCTAGGACACACAGACCTTTCTCGCTGATGGATCTGGAGGTTTCACACTTTTACAAGTGCGAAACTTTCAACAGTGCTGCTAAATTATTTGCAAGTAGTCCCTTGGTTCCCTGCTGTAAAGCAAGGAGACGGCTCATAGGTGAAGTTATAAATCTCAACAAAACATTCAAACTTTAGGAGGTGGGTGCTGGTTTTAGCCCAGACCTAGCAGAACAGCATTTTCCAGGAAGAAAACATTATTTATATGGGTTAAACCTCAGCCTCCTCTTTTCTGGTGCTTTATAATTCTGCCATTGCTATGTTTTCCCCTTTCTTAGCTGAATATTTTTCTGGGGGATTTAAAAAACACCTTTTTTTCCCCTAAGTTATTTCCAAACCTCCTCCTCAGCTTTGCTGCTCCTGCTATCTGCTGTGCAGGAGCCAGAATGTGAGCTATGCTCTGGGGAACGTGGGGCATCCTCATGGCTATTTTAACTTCCACAGCTGCACGCTGCACTCTCTGTGTAAACCCAAACTATTTGGTCTGTAATACGAACGCTGCATTATTCTGTAACGTAGACAGACAGTGATGTGCATGTGGAATAAGGATGAAAATAGATTCTGGATTGTGTGGATTGCTACTGCATCCCTTCCATAACTGGACTTACTGTAAGAGCCTTTTGGTGCCTTTTAAAATTTTTCTTTTAATGTGTAGTTGACCAGCTTTGATTTTAACCAAGCACACAAGAAATACATCATACAAGTCCTATTTTAATTACGAGGTTTTTAGAGGGAAGGAATATAGTGCTTGGTAGGTAATTGAAGAAAAAAACCCCAGTGCTCACACCTCTCCTGTCCTTTGGCCAGCCCTGATAAATGGAACCCCCGTAGTGATCCTGACAGTGTGAAAAGGCTCAGGGAAGGCTGAGTCCCTCAACCAACACCTCCAAAAGGAGGAAAACAGAACCTGTAAAATCTAAGAAAATCCAGGTCTTTCTAATGAAGGTTTTTAATTAAATATGTTCTCTGTGACTCAAGGCACCGGCCCTCTCCTCATTTTACAGCGACCACATGCCCATAATTAGGTAAATGTGAGGTTGAGTCCTGGGCATTTACTGCCAGCAACTTTACAGAGGCAAAACAAGTCCAAGCCAGGCACAACTGAGACAAACAGCACTTTTGTGGATCTCTTTCCCACAATTTTAACTATAAGAAAACATTTACCTGGGAAAAAAAATTGAAGAATTTCAATTTACCCTATCTGACATCAAAAGGAACCGTGGGATGGGTGGAGAGGAGAGCTGATAAAAGCAAAATACAGCAGATTTGGTGTTACCACAGCTGCTGCAGCGCTGTGACCTCCGAGCTTAGAGCTTGCCTTCCCATGCTTCAGCCAGAGAAACCTGTCCCTGCAATGATGTGGAGGGAAAAGAGGAATAAAGCTGCAAACAGCACCCATGTCCAGAGGGCACTATGAACAGGTCAAGGGACATCTCTCAGATAAACGTGTCACTCTGTAGTTACAACACATTTAATTTACATACACCACATCTATCACTTCAGTAGTCAAGGAAGCTTCAGAAGTGAATATTTTTGTATTTTCCACATGCTGATGGCATACATTAATATCATATTTATGCCAAATTCCCTAAGCGCAGCCAGAGAACCCAGTGGATTTTCATCTTGCCCACTCATGCCTAGATAAGGGTGTGCAAACCCAAAGCTATTTTGGGAACGTTTTTAGGCCCTGTTGAGCGGTGCTTAGAACAGTGCCAGGGACGAGTGTCCAGATAAAGGGCTGCAAGGATAAATTCCAAAGCCTGGGAACAATTGGGGAGCTCATCTTTATCTCCAGCACCTCTCACCCAGGCTTATAAATAGTGACTGCCCCAAGAGGGTCATGTTACAGAGCAGGATGGTGGCTGTGGGGCCAAGGGAGCGTGGCTGCTGCCCTTGCTCTGCCCAGACAATATCCAGGGAGGGCTGGCTGCTGCCTGCCTGCCTTCAGCAGCACCAGGGACACAGTGGGCTTGGGTTTCCTCCAGCAGTGGAAGAAAATCCTGCCACCGCCCTTTGTGCTTCCTGACTTGAAAGTCTTCACCTCCCGGTGCATGGGGAGCAGGATAAAAGCTCTCTGCCTGCTTCCCACAGGCTCTGTCCTGCTAAGGAATGGTACTTTCCCTGCCTCTTGCTGCAAGTAGGAAGGATTTCAAGCTGGCTTTTTCAAAACCATTGCTCTTTGGGGTCAAAAGACTCAGCTTTCCCACAAAGACAAGGTGCCACAACCCTGGGCTGTGGGGTTTTGCCTCAACCAAAGCATGGCAGGGGTGGGTGCTGGGGATTGTTTGCATGGGGATGGCAGCAAGGAGACTTTAGAGGGGTCAGACACCCTCTGTGCAGGTGTGGGGGAGATCATACCTGGTGGCTCCAGAGAGGTTGTTGACCAGCATAGGAAGGGTCAGTGTTTCCATGGACACTGCCAAAGGGGCAGTTGGACACGGTGGTGAGGTCAGCAATTTTAGATGAGCAGTACCTGCAGGCAGGAATGAAGCCAAAGAGAGAAATGCACTTAGACAGGTATGACACAGAGCTGACTCATTCCTCTTTGCTCTCCTGAGTGATTATTTTCATTAATTCACACTAACTAATAAGCTTCCACTGATGGTCTGAGGGGATTACATTAGGGCAGGGTTTAGGAACAATCTGCCAGTTGATTTCAGCTAATGTTGAATGGCTCCACAGGCCATTTCCTCAGGGAAATTCCCAAAACAGGTTAAAGAGAAGAGCAGCCCCCTTCAGAGTCAAGAACCTTTGTGATAACACTGACTCAGATGGAAGTAGAGCAGTTAATGCTCTGGACAGTGCAGGCAGCATCCTGAATCCAGGGCTGAAAAACAACTACTGGGAATGGTCTTGTCCACCTTCCCTCCCCAGGGACCTCACAAGCACATCCCACCTCTGACCTGGCCAGAGCCCACATGTGAGCAGCCCTGAGCAGTGCAGCCATCCTGTGGTGAAGCTTGCCAGCAAAAAGAAATTATCCTAAATGGTTGACAGAGGCAAATTCTTTTCTCAGTGGGTCTCCCCTGCTTGTGCAAAGGCTATTTCTGCTGCTACTAGAGCTACTACTTTAGAGAAGGGATGCTTGCTTCAAAGGAGATGGGAATAATTGTTTTTTTAAAGAGAATAATTTCTTAGACAAAAAGTTGTGGTGTCAAAACCCCCCTGGCTGCACATCCCCTAATACATGAGGGTGATTGTTGTGAGACTTGGCTGATCTTCGCAAAGGCTGTTGAAAAAATAATGTGTCCTGTCAGTGATGCTGACAAAGAAAAATGACTTGGTCTCTGTGTTCTCCTTGCAGGTTGAGCAGCTGACAGAAGAGCAAAAAAATGGTAGGTGCATCTTGAACCTGACACCACAGCTTAGAGACAAAGTCCCCAGCCCCTGCCTCAGCAATGACAGCCTGGAAAACGCTTTGGTCAGACTGGCCAAGGCAGGGCACAACCCAGGGATCTTGATCCACCAGGATTTCAAGCAAGGCAGTGTGTGTGTGCCCAGGTGTCCCACCATGCCATGGCTGGGCAGTGCTGGGGGGCACGGACAGGGGAGGCTGTGCTTGGGACAAGCCCCCTGCCCCCAAGGCCACCTGTCTGCAGGGTCGAGGTGCACGACAAAATCCCCCTACATCTCCTCTCTCTCTCTCTCTCTCTCCAGAGTTCAAGGCTGCCTTTGACATCTTCGTGCTGGGGGCAGAGGATGGTTGCATCAGCACCAAGGAGCTGGGGAAGGTGATGCGGATGCTGGGGCAAAACCCCACCCCCGAGGAGCTGCAGGAGATGATAGACGAGGTGGATGAGGATGGTGAGAGATTTGGGTTTCTTCCACTGTCCCAAGTACCATCCCCACATCTGGAAGTATGAGGGCCATCTGTGCAGCGCTGGCAGGATCCATGCTGGGGACTCACAGATGTGGGTAACAACCTGCTGTGCTGTGAATTCAAAGGACACCAAACACCCACCAAACTGCAGTGTGGTTCCTTTAGGACATTCTCAGGCAAAGAAAAACTATAAAAATTATTATTCTTACAATGATCAAGATTTCTTGAACTGATTTTGAGGGGGTACTCTGAAATTGCATAGATCCATCTAAAAAACAAAATGCAGGCTGAACATAGGAACTCCCATTTCAGAAGTGCCACAGTTACAGGATTCTATCATCAGGAAAGTCTCTCACTGCTCAATTGTACACAACCCCACATAATTAACTGTCAATATTGATTAAATCAGTGTACTGGTGATCACACATAACAAAATCCACCATGTGCATTTGGGCAGAAATACCATACTAAATAACTGGCAAATAAAAAAAGCAGTTAAAAGTCAGGCAGAAAAGGAAACCAGCTATGTCATTGAAAAGAACAATACTGTACTGCAGGTGCAAAACCACACTGCCATGAATACCTGCCTTCTGGAGCTTTTATTATTAATACCTGGGTGAGATGGACAAGTATCTCCATAGCAGGAACTTCCATTCATCAGTGCTTCCATAAGGATTTTTGCCCAGGCAAAATGACTGCAAAAGGCAAAAATTTAGTGAGGAAGTCAGAGCAGGGCCTCCCACGTCTGCCTCTTGCTGCAAAGCTGCTCTCCTGAGTTTTGATTCTTGGTTGCCAGAGGGAAGTGTGATCCCTCTTTGGTGTTGCCCATCCACTCACCACAGCACCAGCTGATGGTGTCTATTCTGCCTGCAGGCAGCGGCACCGTAGACTTCGATGAGTTCCTTGTTATGATGGTCCGGTGTATGAAAGACGACAGCAAAGGAAAAACCGAAGAGGAACTCTCAGACCTCTTCAGGATGTTTGATAAGTAAGAGCCACGACCACGGTGGAGTTTTGGGAGGGGTGCAACCACCCTGGCTCCTCCTCAGTGTGTCTGTCTGTCTGCTCCTGAGCTCTTCTGTCCTCTCACAGAAATGCTGATGGCTACATTGACCTCGAGGAGCTGAAGATCATGCTGCAAGCGACAGGAGAGACCATCACCGAGGATGACATAGAAGAACTGATGAAAGATGGGGATAAAAACAACGATGGCAGGATTGACTATGATGGTAGGAATCTTTCTTGCATGTGGGTTGGTCGTGAGCCCTTGAGGGAGCCCTGGGCAGCTCCCATGGTCTTGGTTGCCTTCTTGGATGGGCACAAGCTCATGCAGACACTGCTGGGCAGTATGTCTGACAGCAGTGTGTGTGCATAGGGATTAGGGGGTTTCTTATGCTTGTGAAATGGTAGCAGTAACCTGGGACTGCCTTCACTGTCCCCATGCTGTGAAAGCCAGCCTGCACCGAAGCACTGCCACTTTTCACCAGAGACCCGCCTGTCCCCTCCTACCCCCTCAACACAAGCACCATTTCCAAAGTGCTCTGTTTTTGAATGTGATGCTGCCAAAATAACCCCCAGACCATTTCCAAGCTGAGTCAGCACCTGTGTCCCTCCCTGGATGCTCACCTCCAGTGTTTTGGTGGCAGCCAAAGGTGACGCAGGGCTCCAGTGACATTTCCAGCAGGAGTCACGAGGAGTCCTCGCCACAGTCAGAGGAGCAGTAGCCATCCACCCTCAGCCTCTCGCACACTGGGGGGCTGGAAAAGGAGATGGGGCTGGGGAAAACTGCCAAGAGCGCACTTGGCAGCTGTGAGGGCACTTTGGTCTCACCTCACACCTCTTGTCTCCAATGTCTTCCCCTTGGCAGAGTTCCTGGAGTTTATGAAGGGGGTTGAATAAATCTGAGGCCAGATGGACAGCTCGAATCTCCTAAACCCCTCCAGCTCTGCATCTCATCTCCCTGACTTAAATCCCCTGGCTACCAGCATGAAGACTGAGTGCTGAGGAGGGTGGCCGGGGGAAATAAAACCTGTTAATACCCAGTGCCTCAGATGGTCTTTCCTTAGAGGTTTAGTGACAGCTTCACCCCGGTCGCGTGCTCATGACTAATGGGGTCACTCCTTGGGGCCACTGCTGGCAAGGTGACATCACAGCTGGAGCTTTAATTCTCCAAGGAGGTATTTTGCTGCCAGCCCAGCGACAGTCCATCCAACAGGGCCACCTGTTTGGTGGGGAGCTGTCATCTCCTCACCCCTGCCATGGTGAGCAGGCTCAGGAGCTGGCACTGGTGCCTGCTGGCTTAACTGGAGCATCGGCGGCATTTTAGCAAAGAAATGTGAATTACAAACCACTGAGGCCATCACTGACATCCACGGGTGAGGGACAGTACCTCTCCTCCCTACTCTCACCTTGGCTGTCCTGACAGGACACCCCTTCCCCCTTCCCACCATCCTGATTATCACCCTGTGGCACAAGCAGAAAGAAGACCTCAGTTTTCTTTGGGAATGTGAATAAAGGCCATTTCTAAGCTCGACTGGGTGCCTCCTTCCTGTCTGACCCAGCCTGGTAAGGAGCCCCATGGCACCTCATAGTCCTCCTCCAGCCCTGAGTGAGAGCCTCACTGTAACAAGTGAAACACCCAGTTATCCCTCAGAAATCACATCCCTTTGGGCCCTGAGCAAGGCAAGACCCCACTTTGGGTCTCAGCTCCCGGGGCAGGGTGACAGCAGGGCCAAGGAGCCGAGCTGTCCCCAGGGGCCCCAGGCGCCATCTTCTCTCATCCCAAGGAAGCGCAGCATTCCAGCAGCATTAGCAGCTCTGCCTGCACATAGCTGCCTCCTCCCATCAAATTACAGCCTCAGCACAACTCACACATTGCAGTCGTGTTGCTAAAATCAAACGTTTACCCAAGCAAAATAAACATTGGCAGGGCAAGGCGGGAGGCTGTGTCAGGGCGATGCTGCCCTCGGGCCTGGCTGGCCATGCTGCCACGTGCCAGTGCCCCACATCCACTGCACTGTCCTTCTGCCTTTCTCACAAACCAGCTTTTTCTCCCCCCTCTGTGGAAATAACACCCTGAGCAGCTGTATTTGCTGTGACACTCACTCTCACTTAAAGCAATAATGAAATATTGTAATTCAGGAGAAATGGGCCTGAGGTGAAAAAAGGCATGAGAGTGGTTGTCGATTGTTTGGAAGGACATGGTTGTGTCTTTCCTCTGGACAACAAGCACTAAATCTTTTGCTCAACCCAGGCTTGTAACACCAGGAAAACAGAAAATTAACCTGTCAGCTAAATCAGCTGATTTTCCTTAAAGCCCAGGGTATTTTGGGAAGACCCATAATGCAAACATAGGTTGACCTGCCCAGAGGGGTCTCCCTGAGAGTCCCAAGCCCTCAATGCCATAGCTACTGTGGATTCAGCAGAACTACAGGTGCACCAGAAACCAACAGACATGTGCTAAGAACCCTGTGACAGGAAATGCTCCAGGTGTTACAGTCTTCTGTTCCCAATGAATCTGTAGCCTAGAGATCAAAACCAAACACCTTTCACCTCCCAAGTGTAGCAGCAGAAGTCATTTCCCCACTGAGACCTGCTTATGGGGACACAGTTGAAAAGTGGTTTACGCCAGAGCTGGAAACTCCAGAGAGCTGCAAATACCTGGGCTTCACCCACAAGCCAAGGTGACACTAGCTGTCCCCACACCCACGGCCATTCAGCCCACAGCAACCCATTCCTGCACTCACATCACATCAGGCATCACCAACAGCCCCGTTATCCTCCTCTGTCCTGTCCAAATCCCAACATCCAAAAAGGACTTCTGCAAGATACTCTCCACTGCTTACTGAGAGGCTTTGGATTCCTGAAAGGTGAATAAGAAACAAGGTTAACCCCTTCCTTTCAGTCAGCTTGGTGGCTTGGGCTGTGCTGTGACCCAGGGAAAAGGATGGCTGGAAAGAGCCACCTGGCTCTGTGCTGGCTCTCCCCCCTTGGCTCCATGGCACAGGCAGCAGCACGCCAGGGCCTCACTGGCTGCCTTTACTCTTTTCTGAGAGTAAAACAGAGAAGGTGGTGGCTGGGGAGGGAGGACAAAGGTCTTGCAGCAGCTGAAACTTGTTGCTAGAAGAGCAGATACACTGGGACTATTTAGGCTTTTTCAGTGCTTAGAGCAAAGGTGCCAGCAGGTCAGCACGCTCTGCGGGGAGCCAGGAAAACTGCTGCGAGGCCAGTCTGCCTTAACACACTGACTGCTCCCAGAGCCAGACAGCAAATGCTGCAGGGTGAGGAGCTGTGGGTGGATTTCACTGTTGGCTAAAACACGGGAACAACTGCACGAGGAATGTAACATGACGTGACAGGCCGGTGAGTGGGTGGGCTGGCTGAAAAAACAGTCACCAGAAGAGGACTGGCCTGGTTGAAGCCCCCACAGAGGGGGATGTGCTAACAAGGAATGAAAACCACCCTGAGGAGTCCATGGTGCAACTGGACACAGCCACAGTTCCCAGGCCATGCGATCTGCTTGCCTTTACTGGCAGTAGATTTAATTCCTGCCCTGGTTTTCAGCTTTATCACCATATTTGAAGCCTCTCTTCAGCCCTCAGTAAAACTGCTGTGTGAACCAAGTGAGTGCAGCAAGATCTGAGGAAATTTTGTACACACTGCCCTAATGAAAACTCTGCATCTTGCCTACAGCCATAAATCTGCCACCAGGGCGGTGGCAATGTAACATGAGCTAAGGTACATGGGGATAAACACTCCACCATGCCAAAGCCCCTGTGGTGTAGGAACACCTGCAACAGCCTTAAAACCTGGGCAAAGCAGAACTCATGTTCTGTTGCTGCTTTTCCTTGGCTACACTGTCAAAAGGCGATAAAGGGGGACAGGTTTCCAGCCCTACTTTTCATTTTCACTGTGAACATCAATGTCCCCAGTGAAAGCTGTCCCCCATCAGAGCGTTTCGCAGGGCTTTGATTTCTCCTCTCCAGTTCTGTGCTCTTGGCTTTCACTGTGATGGCTCTACGTTTGCCAAAGGAGCTGATTCAGTATTTGGTTACACGCCCTTTGCTCTTTTGTTTGTTTTTGTTTTTTTTTTTTAAATCAAAGTAAAGAAAGAAGCCAAACTGGAAACTTGATACGAGTCCTCTTACTTGCAATGGGGAGAAACCATTTGCAGCAAGTATGACATACAGCAGCAGCAAGCATGAGATGTCTAAAAGCAATTAAGCATTGAGATGCTCTCAAGCTCTTTGGCTTCTTGCAGGATACCAAGCACTTAATCACAAGAGTTTTGAAGTTTTTAAATGTCAAAGATGACACAGCTCTGCATAATGGGAATAGTATCAAGTGGGCCACAGCTGCCAGTTCCCCTCCTGGGCTCTGTACACGTAATGCTCCCAAAAAGGATCTCCAGCCTCACTTCACCAACAGAACTTAAATGATTTCGCAATGCAAGAGAAAAAGGAGGAAGACTCATCACAAGGCAATGTCAGCACAGACTCCTCTTCACAGCTTCTCCTTCTGGGCTGGGGCAACCTGTACAACAAGGAGGGAAGCCACGAACTGAGCTGTCACAGGGTTAGAAAATCCAATAGGTGGTCAGCTGATGTCAGGGCAGTGTCCTGTGGGACCACCATGTGTGCAGGGAGCAGACGACAACAAACCTGACACCGACCTGCTGTGGAAGTTCACAAAATTCCTGTCTCCTGCTACACAATGATGCCTGGATTAAGGTTACGTTCCTCCGTGCTGCATTTTGTCACGCAGACGCTATTTTGGTCAGAAAGTCAGCAAGCCCATATTTGGGAAGCTGTCCCACTGAAGGGCAGCATGAAGGGCAGCGACATGAAAAGGCTGCTTCTGAAAGCAGGCCTAGGGTTGCTGCCTGGAGCCACAGGAAGCCCAAATCTTGCCTGCTGCTTCTCATTAACATGCCAACATCCTCTTTTCAGCCTGACCCTCGCCTCTCTCTCTCTTCTTTCAAACTGCATCCTGTGGCTGAGCTACTCCCACAACACAAGCACTCAGGCAAAGACACTAAAGGGGTTGAGATGAAATCTCCCTTCTTATATGAAAAACTCTTAGCGCTAGAGATTGGAAATGCAGAACTTAAACCGTGAAGGAGATCTGCAGACACACAGGTGAAGGTGTAGACTGACAAACACTAAGTCCTCTGCTCAGAGGCTTTTGCTCTTGTAACAACACACGCTGGAGGACCCGCCACTCCATCTTCTTCAACACCAGCAACAGCCCAAGGGGACATCTCTGCCAGCCCAGGCAAGGGCTGCAGTGGCTGCTGGGCAGCTCTGGGCCAGGGGCTGAGGCTGCCAGATGTGCACACTAACCCAAATCACAGCCACACAGTGCTACCTTTGGAGACAAAGTGGCTCAGGCAGGGCAGGCACCAGCCATGCAGCTCGAGAGCCAGCAGGATTTAAGCGCTGTGCATCTGTCTCTGGCTGATCTACCACTTGCCAAAGGGAGGATTAAAACCGTGAAGAACCTCTTGCCAGCTGTCCTTCTGGTGTACCTGAGGGCAGCAGGGACCAGACAAGCTTTTGCCACTTTAGTACAGTGACTGCCCACTCTCTGCAGCACCAAACCCCTCCTGACCCGCACGCTCCTCCCACACAACAATCAACTGCTTTCGGGTGACAAACACCAACCTGCACAGAAGTCCAGGAGCTGCACACTACAGGAACCAGACAGCTGAGGGCTGCAGACATCACTGACTTCACACACCCCTCAACTTGTGAGTTTTAAGTCAGCAAATCTCTTTATATTGCTTGGTTTAGGGTGGTAATTTCTTATCAGTCAACACCTATTAAAAAGTGGGAACTGGGAAAGGGCTTTTGAACTCAAGCCAGAAAAAAACCACATTTGCCTTGCTTCAAAGTAGTATTGAATTTTGGCAATTGGCTAACCTAATTAAAAAAAAAAATCAACATTAATTAGATGTTTCAGTTGAAATAATGTCTTTTATCCAGCAGGTGTTTTGCTGCTCTACTGCAGTGAGAAGTTACCTGTGAACTTCCAGCCCTTGGGTGGATCCATGGATTTGCCCCACCGGGTGGACAAGCGCTGGAACTGCAATTTCAGGAACAGTTGGGTGCATTTTAGCAGGTGGCCCACTTCTTGAGCCAGCTTTGCTGGTAGGGGAGACCCGGAGAGTGAAGCTCTCTCCTGGTGTACAGGAGGACAGCAGGAACAAAACGTCGGCTGCAGCACCTCCCAGGCCTTTTGAATGAGATTTTCTCATCTCACCAACTCATCAGCTAGGTCCTCTTGTTACTGGAACGGAAGACATTTCCTAAAATGCAGAAATTATGAAAAAATGCGTATCTTATGTACTTCTAAAACCTTGCACATTCCCATGGGTGGCTCCTTTAACACTTAAATACTTTCAAGTACTTCACAATACAACACAGACCAACTCTAACACTCAGTGTTAGACTGCTTTGGTCTCTCATAGCCAGCACTCCTCACTCTCCCATTTTTCAGGATTCCCACAGCTGTAACCACCTTACCCACACAGCAAACAGTAGACAAGTAAAAGCCTCTGAGTTTCATCTTGCTGTAACAACTATCACAAAAATCATGGTACATGAGAAAGCAAATTTTACCTGTATTGAATACTGTCACCCAAGAGTCCAGGCAACACTGGCTTTAATGTGGATGGAAAGAAATGAGTTTTTTCTTGTTCAAATTTCAGAGCATCACTCAATAACCATTTCACTATTTGAAAGCAGACTTTAAACTACTAAATGCTCATGATCTGTACCAACAATTACAGAAGAACAGCACTGGGGAGGGAGCAGCTGTTTCACTTTCCTTTGTGTGGTGGCTGAGAACAAACAAAAATCCCTCTCAAAGTGTTAACAGAGGGGTTTTAACACAAAACCTCACCAGAGTTCTGGTTGGCTTGATCTGCCAGGGAACCAAAACACACACTGATCACTACTCACAGGCTCAATGCACAACTGGCACCTAAAATAGAAACTAACTCAGACTTCTGGAGGGCTCTCCTCAAATTCAGAAGATGAAGACTTTGTTACATACAATTTTATTTAAAAAAAATGCTGTAACACACTTGCTAATAGGAAAATTGGTTCTTTTAATTAAATCCCATTAGTCCTTTTTCTGCTGAGCAGCCTGCTGAGCTGCCTGCTTGGCATTGTTGGCCTGCATCTTCTTCAACCCCTTCTTGTTGTGTTTCTTTGCAAATCTCATGTTCCTCAGAAACTTGGGATCAACCTATAAAAATAAGGGGAAAATAAGCCATGTTGTAGAAGGAACCCATAAAAACATACATATCTCCAGTTTGTTTCAATTATTCCTAAATGTTGGCTGTGACTAATTCAGATTTTTTTTCCCCCTGATTTTTCAACAAAATTGTTTTACCCACCTGTAACCATGCTTTAATAGCTATTTGCCTTAATTGCCATACACACACAAAAGAAATCCAATACCACAGCAATAAACCCACAGAAAGGACAAGTAAAGCTGTAAACAAGGCAAATTTCATTTCCATGTCATGAGATATTCTGGAGTACCACAAAATAGACTTGGCAGCTGAGCCCATACACATGTAATCCTTGGGCAGAGACCAGTGCTGCTTCCTCAGGTCTTTCCTTTTTATATTAAATGAAAAAAACCCAGCCCAGAGAAGAGCAGCACCTCAATATTTGTCACCTACTGGCTGGCTGGCACACCCTGTCATGGCTGGGACCAATGCTCAGAACTACCAGCTACTGCTGCTCTGAGAAACATTGGCTACTCCTCTTTAAAAAGAAATTTAACTGGCACACAGGAGTATCAGGATTTTGTCCTCTTAACCCATGCACACTCAGTGTGAGGGGACTGCTGGAGGGGGCAGGACTGAGCTCTCACTGAGCTTTGCAAAACGCTTTTCCATCACATGCAAAAATGTGACCATCACACCTACGAGGGAAATGGAGTCACAGTCCTGCCCAAATCCAAGATGTCCTGTTTTCACTTTCAAGTGTGGAAAAAGATCCTGTTCTGTTACTTGCACAATCTCAGAAGAAAAAAAAGCAGTATTCTCTCACTTTCATGTGTTCTGCCCAGAAATGCCAATTCTTCTCATTTTGTGAGTGAAAATTCTCTGGATTAGAACAATATTGAAGGGTATAGAGAAGGAGACACAGCAAGACTCAAAAGAGAGAGGAACCATCCAGCTGACACGTGTGTTTCACTGGCAGCAGCAGTGAGTGATGCCCACCAGAGCAGCACAGAGACAAAACTGGCCAATAACTGAAATGCAGTTCCACAGACATACAAGGGCAGATTTCACATGGGCTAAAAATATCACAGCTGCACGTAAGGTAACCAGAAGATATAACAGAAACCAAATAAAACACATACTGGGGGTTTTCATGGTCAAGCCTCAGTGGTCAGCAGCCTGGGAATGCCAATGGAAATACTCACCCCTTTGAGAGATTCGTATCGATGGGACCTGGGCTTCTTGATGCCATTTCTGTGCCACTTGCGGGCTGTGTGGAAAAGAAGAAAATGGTTTAAGTGACAGTTTCTGCTATTATTAAGCAGCTGCAAGAGCTTCCTTTTAAATCTACCTGACTATCGATACAGTGTGGAATAGAAAACTTTCAAACCCTTCCTTGACCCAACTAAACTCGAATTTTAAGAACACACCTCTGTTCATGTCCCTCTACACAGAGCTCTGGGCACTGCAGGGTTTTCCAGTCTTAAGATTTCAGGTCCTCATTCACTGATAACCCCCCAGTGGCAGCACCACCAGCAGAATGAAAGCCCTCAGTCAGTAGAAGTTGAGTCAAGTGTCGTTCCCAGCTGTACAGGACCAAGCAGGACCTACTTCTGGCCTTTGCTAACTTAGAGCACTGATGAGAAGACCCCCAGAAGAACTATTTGATCAACATGCTCATCTTTGGATGGCACAGTATCACAGTCTGAACAGCATCCAGTAACATCATGGAATCCCAGAACCAGGAAGCAACCCTAAGGATCATCTCATTCCCCCCGCTGTGAGCAGGGACACCTTCCACTATCCCAGATTGCTCCCAGCCCTGTCCAACCTGGTCTTGGACACTGCCAGGGATGGGGCAGCCACAGTTTCTCTGGGCAACCTGTGCCAGGGCCTCATCACCCTCACAGGAAAGAATTCCTTCCTAACATCCAAACTAAACCTGCCCTCTGTAGTGTGAAGCCATTCCCCCTTGTTCTGTCACTCCATGCTCTTGCAAAAGGCTCCCTATCCCTCTCAGTGACGATCATCACAGGATCAATTAGGTTTGAAAACACCTCTGAGGTCACCAAGTCCAATCTATCACCAAACACCACCTTGTCTACCAGACCGTGGCACTGAGTGCCATGTCCAGCCTTTCCTTAAACACCTCCAGGGACGGTGACTGCACTACCTCCCTGGACAGTCCCTTCCAACGCTAAATCACCATTTCTGTGAAGAAATTCTTCCCGATGTCCAACCTAAACCTCCCCTTAAGACCGTGCCTTCTTGTTCTGTTGCTTGTTGCCTGAGAAAACAGACGGTTTCAAATATGAAACTTGCCTTTTCCATGGTTACGTATTAATTCTATATTGAGCCCAAACAAGACCCGACTCTCACCAAGCTCTTTCCAACAAGCACACCACTCTGCCCCCGCACGGTCCCACCTCGTCTCGCTGCAAAGCCCCCCCGGCAGCCTGCAGTGCCACAGCCAGCGGTCACAGCAGCGGGCCAAAGCCCCTCGGCCCACGCCGCCCCTCCCGCAGCCCCCAGCCCCGCTCACACTGGTTGTGCGTGGTGTGGTTCTTGGACTTGGCCATGGTCGCACCTGCGGGAGAAACACACACGGCTCAGCCGGGCCGGGCAGGGGAGCGGCTCCCGCCCGGCCCGAGCCCCGCTTATGGACCCTCCCCGACACCCTCCGGCCCGGTCCGGTGCCCCCCGGGGCGCGGATGGCCCCGATGGATCCGGATGGCCCCGATGGATCCGGATGACCCCGATGGATCCGGATGGCCCCGATGGATCCGGATGGCCCCGACGCCGGGCCCGCCCTCACCGGAGCCGCTTCGCCGCCGCCGCCGCCGGGCCGGAAGAGACGGGGCACCGCGGGGGCTGCCGGGAAGCGGCGCCGCGCCGGAACCCCGCGCACGGAGGTTCCGCCCGGCGATGGTTCCGCCCCGCAGCCTCCCCGTTCCCCGTCCCGCACCGCCGCTCTGCCCACCCCATATCCGCCCCACTCCCGCCCCGGGACACCCCACAACACCCAGCGATGTGCGGACCCCAACCCCTGGAGACACCGCTCCCCTAACAGCACGGTCCGCCACAACACGGTCCCCCCGCCATGGCCGCTGCCCGGCCGGGGAGGCAGGCGGGGCCGAGGGGCATGGCCGGGGTTTGCTCTGTGCTCTCGGTCCGCGGCGCTCGGGCAGTGCAGGCACACACGGGCAGTGCAGGCACACACGGGCAGTGCTCCTCACGGCAGGGCCACTGAGCGCCGTTCATCCCTACCTGTGTTTGCTTTCAAACGCCTCGAGGGCTGTGTCCAGCTCTGGGCCCCTCAGTTTAGGAAGGATGCGGAGGGGCTGGAGCGGGTCCAAAGAAGGGCAACGAGGCTGATGAAGGGTCTGGAGCACAAGTCCTGTGAGGAGCGGCTGAGGGAGCTGGAGGGGTTTATCCTGGAGGGCAGGGGGCTCGGGGAGACTTCGTCACCCTTTACAACTCCCTGACAGGAGGGTGTAGGCAGGCGGGGCTCGGGCTCTTCTCCAGGCATCCAGCACCAGGACAAGAGGACACAGGCTTAAGCTGTACCAGGGGAGGTTTAAGTTGGACATCAGGAAGTTCTTCACACAGAGAGGGATGGGCTGCTTGGGAACGTGGTGGAGTCGCTGTCCCCGGAGGTGCTTAAGGAAAGACTGAAAGACTGGACATTTTTTCAGTGATTCAGTGATTGCTTGCAGAGCAATTGCTTTTCTGCCTCAAGTTCAGATACCTGTGGACAAGTTCTTTCTATTACAAAAATAGAGAAAATTAGATGAAAAATAGCAATATTCTTCTACTGGCATTTTGCAGCTGGAGTACAAAAGTGTGCTCAAAGCCCTTCTTGAGTGGCAGACTTCTGACTTTCTAAACCCTGTTGGTTTTTTAAATTCCTTCCACTGTAGAGAGCTGCAGTCTTACGCTACTTGTACATCACTGTAGCCAGCTAATTGCAGCCAACAGCAGAGGGAAATCCTGACTTTCCTGATAATGCAAAGAGCTGAGCTCAGTGGAAGATAGAAGTGAGTCCCAAGGTGTGTTTGCCTCCACTGGCAAACACTGCACTGCTTGCTCCATTGCAGAAGGCAGAGGGAAACATGCCCTTATGTTGGCCATTAGATTATGAAAACTCTTGGTCTTTTCCACTCATTTCTGAGCCTTCCTTCATAGGAAGAAAGAAAAGGGTTTATTTTATGGTTTCACCTACCTTTTCTGAGTTCTTTCAGTATTCTGCTGCAATTTTTGCTGTTGGAGCTCCCTGGGACCACATGGGATGAGCAGCCAGGCAGGTGGGGATAAGAGAAGCTGTGCTTAGTGCCCAGGTGAAATACAAGACCTGTAAGACAAATTATTAAAATAAAACTGTGGAAGAGTGTTCAGTTTACATATTCAGGATGGTTTATAAATCACTGCAAAGCAGTGCAGAATATCAAGTAAGAAGGATGATCCAAGGCAGGATCAAGACCTGTGTGCACCACTGGGTGATCAAACCCCCTTGCATTTGATGAGCTGCCACTTCTCTAATTATGGCACTACTGTGAATGATTGGCCAGTTCAAAACCTTTAATCATAGTTTTAGTTATTACAGACTTAATTAGCGCATGTTACCCCAAGTGTCCTCTATTAAAGGAGCTGTGCTCATTAAATAGGATTGTAATTACTCCAGGAGCAAAACAATTATGAAAAAAAATCATAGGTTAACATAAAAATCTCTCAGTGCCTTTGAGGACCGTGCTATCTCAGTCTCTGTCCTTGTGTCACACACGTTCAGGTGAGGGATCTCTGCTGGGTTTGTCACAGTTTTCATGCTGACACCACACTTCAGCAGACCCCTAACCCTGCCTCCTCCCTCCCCCTGAGCTGACATTTGTCTTGGGGTAATGAATTACCACAGCTGTCCCCACTTAGTAATGCCAGGGGCTCAGAGAGCTCAGTGCCCAGGCCAAGCACTCTGCAGATATAAACCAGGAAAACAGCACTAATTGCTGGGGGCTTACTCCAAAAGGGGTATGGGCTGGGGTTTGTTGACACCTGATGCAATATTACATAGGTGTTCTGATATTATGTATTCTGATACATTTAATAAGATGTCACATGTGAGAAGCTTCTCCCAAGAGGTGAACAAAGCAAGGGGTGCCTGGGGTGCCTTCCTTGGGCACTGCTTGCTCACGGGCCAGTGATGGCTGGGGACAAGATGGGGAAGCCACTCAGGAGGCTTTTCCCAGCAGCTTGCAGTACAAGTGTCCTACTGCCAACCCCCTGGAACTGGGAAACAGCTGTGGGACCCCACACTATCCCCTTGCTCAGTATCTCTGCTCACCCAGTGCAGCACCAGCCCTGCCAGGGTGCCTGCCCAAGTGTGCTGTCATGTCTGCAGTTACAGGAACTGCCTTGACTGGTGATGATTCCAAAGAACATCTCCTTATTATGTGAGAAGATAAGGCTGCCCCCAGCTCTGCATGGTGCCCTCTGAAACAGGGGTGCTTGTGGGGGCTGCCCGTGGTTCAGCGTGGTGCTGATGCCAGAGCTGAGCCAGGATGAGTTTTACAAGCCCCAGTTCTGATGGAAGGGAGTGAGGGTGACGGGCAGTCCTCATTGACAGACATATACATCTTCCAGAGAAGCCAGGAGCAACAGGACATGGAGGCACTAGAGGGAGCCTGAGCATAACAGATCCCACTCCTGGCTCAAAGTGAGAGGACTAGTCCTAGTCATGGATTAGGGGCATCTCCAGGGAGTAACAGTAAGTTTCATACAGCAGTTTCCCCCTTGACCTGGCATCCTCCCTGGCTGTGCCTTTTTTTGCCCTGGCAGCTGTTATAATTTCCTTGAAGACATGAAGAAATACTTTTCACTTATAGAAAGTGCCAGGGAGACAATCTGGCTCTATGCATTTGCAATAGGAGGTGAGAAAAAACACTGGCAACTGGTGGCAACCGTCAGACTGGAGGGTTCAAGAGAGCAGGAGTTCTTGCAAGGCAAAGGGGAGCAGAAGTGCTGATCCACAGCCACAGATATCCCTGTGAAATGGGGAGCCAGCGTGGCACAGCCCTGCACATGCTCCTGGACTGGTGGCAGGGACATGGGAACAGTAGCTGAGGGCTGTGTCCCCCACTGGTGCACTCCAGTTAGCACCAGTTTCGAGAGCTGAGGCATTAGAAGAGACTGGAGACCTGCAGTCTTTTATTTCCCCCATCAATATTTTTGTTGCATTGGCTTTGGACAAGAAGCAGGACCCATGTCTGGATCTCCCCTGTCAGTGCTGTCACCAAGGATCAGCACAACAAGCGCGAGAGTGTCTGGCTTAGCTGCAGACGGGCATCAGCGCCAGGAGGGGGCATGGACTGGGCAACAAACACTGCACTGGTGTGGGAGTCTCCATCGTGCGGAGATGGATGTGTCTGTTCCAAACACATCTGCAAAGTGCCTCTTATTTTACAATGTTTGCACTGGGCCAAAAGTTGCTTTTGACAGGGTAATCAAGCTTAGCTCAGTAGAAATCAGAGGAGCAACCAGAAGAGATGGGTGAACAGGGACCAGAAACAAATGCTCCGTCACTACTGGCTGCCCTCAGAGGCTTTCCTTCCTCCACAGAGCCCATCCCTTAGGTCAGCCCAGACCCTCCACACATTGTACACAAGTGTATTCCTGTAAGCAGCTTCCTACCATGAAGGCAGGAGGAAAAATCAGGAAGCAGCCTGAAATGCAGCCCTGACCTTTCCCTCCAGGCCTGCCACCTCCTCCCACTCTCCCCAGAGCTGGCACTACTAACAACTGGTTTCCTCTTGTTATTTTTCCACCTCCACTCCTTCCTCCAGAGGGGAGGCCGTGCTGGTGGCCCACGTACCGGTGACTCACAGGCTGGGACCTGCGAGGAGCCAGCTCAGCCTGGCCAAACTTAGTAACATCTCATTTTCCATTGCCTACATCCCGGATGATGCTGCTGGCTGGGTTCATCACTGGAGGCCTTCTCCAGCTACCTGCGGGCTTTGGGAGGACCAGCAGTAGTGGGGCTGAGATGGAGCAGCCCTTGATGCAGATAAATTCTCTCTTGGTGAGTGTTTCTCCAGCTTGCTTATAACTGAAACCCACGAGATGTTCTGGACATCAAAGAGGGCTTTTCAGGCCTGGGAAATGTATAAGTAAAGACATATATATAGGACTGAATGGTAGTTCCATTTTCCTGGAAGCATTTGAGTGATTTGAGGGGAGCTTAGGGGTTTGAAACTGATTCCACATCTCCGTCAGTCAGCCTGGTCCATCTGGCTGGATGTCCCCAAATCAACAAATGACAATTGCAATCGCAAAACCGAGCTCAGGCCACCTGCAAGGTGGGGAAGGATGGTCTGCAAAGATGGAGGTGCTGCCGTGGCTGGAAGCTGGGAATGGAAAAATCGCTGGATGACAAGCAGGCTGACTGCAGATGAGCAGGCAGAGCACGGAGACACGGCTCCTGGGCAGCTGCAAGCCCACTGAGCAGGACCCCGTGGCTGCTGGCAGGGCTGCGTGGAGGGGATAACGCCAGGAAGGGAGCAGCCGTGTGCGCTCAGCCCACGCTTCTCGCTTTAACGGGATTTTCCAGAGCACTTTTTGCCCCAGTAATGGAAAAGGAAGCTCTCCTGCTGCTTCTGAAGGCTGGGGTGAACGTGTGCAGCCGACGTGACACCTGCTCAACCCGCGCTTCCCGAGAGCCTGGCTCTTGGGAAGGAGGCAGCGGATCCGCAGGCACAGCGTGTACGGAGCAGCTGATCGCTGCGGGGAGGAGGCACACGGAGGCGGCTGGGAGAAACGGAGAGGGCTGACCTAAATAGATGTTGAGCTAATTTATTCATTTCTCTGCTTTATTATTTAACACAACTTCGAAAC